TGCCCCCTTTTTAGAGAGTGTGTTTGCCTACACCTGATTTGTTTGAGGCGACAATCTCTCATGGGTTCATACTTTTTTTATGGTTTCAATGTATACTGACCCGCAGCTACAGGAAGATGGTATACCCTGGGTATTGCTAAAGGTTTTAATAATAAACTGGTAGTTTTTGTTGGCCTAAATATTGGTTTCACGTCGTTTTTCTCCCAATCCGGTCTGTAACATTTGTAACATAGCAAAGGAAAGCTTTTCCCTTGACTAGCCTAGCTAAGGTTACTTTGGCATTCTCACTCCTGGGTCGTATGGCTCGCTCGTATTTTCCTCTGTTATACTCATTCCCTTTGAGATCATTTTTCAGGTGGTTGAGTTCCTCATATTCATACTTACTGATAGACATTTCAACTGCCCTCAAAACCTTCATGTATCAGTGAAAGTGGGTATAATGATCTATTTGTGCATGAACGAAAACGATTCGAAATTTCGAAATAAGTTGTAAACGAAATCACTTATTTTCAATATCTCAGACATTTTGAACGACTATTTCACAACAAATCTGGCAAATAAGGAAATTTCAACAATAAACCTAATTGCTTGTTTTCTATCTTTGGAAGTTTCCCAAATTCATCCTACGAAGATGGAGAAGTAGAAAACCAAAATTTGTTTTTTCAAAAATCGCTTGCTGCTAACAGCAAAATTGGCGAATTTTCAACTCACCATAACTGAAATGTTTGACTCTCCGTTCATTTCGAAGTTCTACGAAAATCTCGTTTTGTGTACTTGATAATTGAAAAGTACCATACATCAATAAAAAGTGTTAATATATAATATACAGACACACGAAACGTGAAGTTGTTTACAGATGAAATTTGACAAGAACAGAGTTACTACAGTTGCATGTCATGATAGTTGACATAACTCAGCATCATAAATTCAAAATTTCAAAGTTGGTCTCACTTGAAAACATTCCCAAAGAGCGTTTATGATATACGTCACAAGCCTCCATATAGATTGGATCTCCATGACGTTTTTTTGGCGTCGACACGATTTACAAAACCGCGATACGTGTTTCGCAATATAATAGCTTCCTCAACAGTAATGCTTGAGGAAGCTATTGTTTGGGGAAACACGTGTCGAGGTTAGGTGAACCTCTTATAGTGAACAGCAGATGGGAAATATAACCAACAAAAATTATCACGAATACTTCAGTATTTGACAATCCTCAATACATGTATTCATTCAAAAGTGCAAACAAGTATTCATATTTGGCAATGTATAAGGTAGCCTTCTGACGTCACACACGTTTTTGTCGCATATGGTTGACTATCTTCTATATTTTTTGTGAGATTCAAAAACTTTCACATTCAGAATATCTTCATGTTGCCTATCAGCTAGCAAGTAGGCGTGTTCCAGAATAATTAAATGAAGAGGGCGAATTACTTTCAAAACAAACTAAAACATTCAAGTATCATTTTCATTTCTGAAATAGTTTTATTCGTAGTCTTGTATTTAATCCACTCTGTATATCTTTCAAAATCCATTTGTAACTTATTCGTTAATTAATTTGAAAGCACAATGTTTCCTCACCTTGCTAATTCAGATTGGTATTTCGTCAAAATCGATATTATTCTCATAGAAAACCAACTGATTGGAATAATGAAAGAAAAAATCTAGGTGTTGTTCAAATATTAATAAGATTATTGGAAAATTTGTTGGCACAAAGACTACATTGTTATAATGTGCCTAGCTCTCATTGGCACCAAAGTTGCGATATTCATAATAGTAACGCTAATGTATGACATAAATTGAAGCATATTTGTTGAGCCACCATTTTTAATATCTGCAAGAATATTCGATAACTCAAACATTTTGTTGGGTAAAGTTACGTTTGCAGGTGTCGAATTGGGTAAGTTCTCACACATCACACAGAAGTGCATCCTAATGGTGAAAAATTAATCGACGAGTTCAGATAAATTCTTATAAAAAAAGTATTTGAATGGTGCAGGAAGAACATGTCTACCAATATGTGTTATGATTAGCATTGAAAAATGATGGCAACAACTGCATCTAACACGATTAAATAATGAAATCTCTCTAGTCTGTGAACTGTCTGATGAGCAATTTGGGTTTAGTGAAGGAATATGTTATTCAAACAGTAAACAAGTTAAAATAAAAGCCCTATAATGAAATAGAGCTTGTGTGTTCTCAATATAATCCACACAACATGTGTTCAACGAAAGACCGCAGTACCTGAATTTCATCATGACAAAACTACTTCGAATATGGAAAATTCTGTATAGTAGAAACGAAAAAATAAGTAGTTACATGTGAAATGCTGCAAGAAACCTAACTGGGCTCCATCCTGTGGAACTTTCAGTAGAATGAAAATTTCAACCCAGAAGTAACGTAAAAATATTCTTATTCATAACTAACTACACACGTCTAAAATGTAAAGGATTACGTTTTTTATACTAATAAGCATAACGAACATCAGTAATTTCAATTCTATTTACATCTATTGATGAATTTTAGGTACTTTTACTCGTGAAATCAATTTTTTTTCCAACTTTAGTACAGAAGAATGATGAAAAACTATGAAATAGACTATATATTTACCCAACTAAAATTGTAATCTTCATTTTATTAGGATTTTTTATACCTACTGATAATCTTTAGGATTCCCAACTTGTGAAATATATGTTTGTACCAAATAAAGTAAATGAAAAATGTGATGAAACAACAGAAAAGACTCCTTATTATGATTGTCTATATATTTTGCTCAACTAAAATTGGTACTACTATTTTGAACTTGCCAAATGGAATTTGTGATTGAATTTATTCAAAATATATTTTAATGACAAAATGAAATAAAGTACACGATGTATCGATTAGGTGTTTGGAAGTAATCCGGAAACAATTCGTACTGTGATAAGTCACCTACCGGACTCATAACCTGTAGAACTATGTTCATCTTTTTCATTTGGACAGTCGTATATGTAAATCATGAAAAAACAATATTATTTTCAATCAGCAAGGTTTTGTAATAGTCAAAACAAAATTTCTATTTATTTCTTCCAAACTGTCAGTATCTAACAGTATATCACACAATTTATAAAAATATATACCCAATATATCTCGGTAAGAACTCTGAGAACCTCCTTGTGCATGCTGTTGCATAATAAATTCTCATTGGATTCTTCCACCTACTCGTAGTCGGCATCTCGGGAAGTCCAAATTCACTGAACCGAACACCAAACACTGATATACTAAATATATTCAAAGTAAACAAAAACTCGTTCAGATAAGATAGTGCTAATCTATCAGTGAAGTGTGATAATATAGATTAAATTAGGTGTTTAGCCCTGAATTATACTGTTGTGTTTTTGTTACAATATCGACACCGTCATGAAATGTTTACCATTCTGTGACCAGCAAGTATAATGCTCCGGGAAAAATAGGAAAACTCTGAAGCAAATATTTAGAAACGTTCTGAAAGAAATATGTACAAAATGGCTAAAGTTCCAAATAGCCCTCATTATTGATTCATTTGATTTGATCTAAGCCAAAAGATTTTATTCAAAATCAAAAAAGGAATTCGAGTAATACTTTGTGGGACTCTAACTGAACACTTTAGAAAATCCCAACACTTCAACAAAGTTTACCGAGAACAAACTATCGAAACTAGTATTAGCGATTTACGAACATACCATCTGAATTCAGAAAAGAAAAAAAAATGAAAAGTAATTGATAAGACGAAATGAATTATAAAACTACAAACATGATTCCAATCCACACGAAATCTAATAGAATATAGATACGTATAAGTAAACGTATAAAGAAACTACCTATACAATAGGGTGTGGTAAACGTCTGTCAAAAAACAACTACTTTCCCGGCTAATACCACGCTGGATATTGAATTATATTCAACAGACATTTATGCAAGATTCCTCACAGAAGCTAATCTTGCAGATGTTTCTTGTTCAAACAGCATTGATAGATACCTTCATATACACAAAATAGAGATGAAAAACAAATAGAAAAGATGATAGAAGATGAAATTTCTGGGCCATCACAATTCTCATAGAGTTCACCGCTATGTATTGTACTGAAGGAAATCGACAACAGCGGAAAACAAAATTGCACACTAATGGCGATCACAGAAGAGACAACGAAAAAATCGTGTGAAAGAAAAATACGCCATTCTCAACATGGACATTCTCGACAAACTAGACCAAAGTTATTAGTTATCCATGCTAGACTCAGCTCCTAAATTTCACCGAACTGAAATGCATCCGAATTCGATAGAAAAACGACTTCCAAAGTAGAAAATGGACATGACGAGTTCACGAGGGTGCCATTTAGTTCGAAAAATAACCCAGCTACTCCTCAGAGAGTAATGGAAAACTTATTATAAGATTTCTGGGATAGACTTTGACCCGTATGCATGAAAAATAATTTCATTTTCCAGGATAGAGTTTGCCCATATGCAGGAAAAATAAAATAATTTTCCTTCAGGAACACGTTGAAAACCTTCACAAATAATATAAAGCCGGTTTCAAAATCCAACTTGAATTATATGAGCAATTTTTGATTGCAAATCTCTGATTTTTTCAATAAAATATGAAAAGCCTATGTTACTTGTTGATAATGAAGCTCAACTTTAAGCACGAATGAGATGTGCCATTTTTATTCGTTTACATTTCTTTCTTGTATTCTAACAAACATTTCTGAAAAGATATCTTCTGTCATGTCAATCCTAAAAAAATACAGTCAATTGCTTACTCACTGCGTCAAAGTACATCAGCATCTGTCGATCACTTCTTGAATTATCCATATCACTAATATCAGTTTGTTGAATCGTTATTTTTCAATTGATTTAATATTTTTAATCGACCATAACATGAGTAGCGTATAAATTCCATTGAGCAACAACTTAAAAAATTCTCATTCTACACTATCGCGTTGAAAACAGATAATATCACTACCGTCACACCAAATACAAACCTTCCTGTCGTTCTCCGCCGATCGTAGCTCAGAGGAACCCTCCTCGTGTACCGTCTCACTTGCGAAGACCTCGCAGAAGACCTCCTCCTCTTTCCGACGATGTCGGAGTACCTCCTCGATCCGTCCGAAGAAATCAAACTACCCGCCGAAGCAAACGAGCCTCGTGAGTCGCTCGAATCAATCTCGTGCTCGGGTATCGCTTCAGAGTCCCTCCTCGACATGTCCGAGGACCAGAGGCTCGTGATGCTGGCGCGCGAGTCAATTGATCGTTGGCCGACGATTTCATATCTTCTCGATGATGTCGAATACGAGGAGATGCTAGTGACGGACTGCCGACTCTCATTTCCGACGTCCACGGAGGAATCACGGGAAAACGGCGAATACCTAGATGAAGCGGGAGATGAAGGGGTTGGTGGGGAAGTGTCCAGGTGGTTCAACGAGGCGCGGTTTTATGTCGATTATTTACCGAAGCACGGTAACCAGTTCTTTTTACAGGTGGTGTCCATTGGGTTGTGATACATCAATGAATCAGCAATTTCGAGTTTTTATCCGGTTCAGAAAACTTCAGAAAAACTGTGATTGGCAGGTTGATTTTGACTGCCTTGAAAGGGTTTTCGAATCCTAGACCGCCACAAAATTCAAGGTCATTTTTACAATGGATGAACAAATTTCCAGGGTGATGAGAGACGCGTATCCGAATCTTGTGGGCTAAATTAAGAGAGTCATAGTTACGACTTCACCAGAGGATCTGGGGAATCGGTTAGGCCTCCCAAAAACACCCCGGACGTTGATACGGCCTTATGTGGCCGGCACATATTTCAGGGATATCCCGTTTTTCCACCACACGAACCTGTCGCAACCAAACTTGAGTCCTTCCTCTCACATCACGTACTCTCAGTCAGAGTAAGAGCAGGTACTTCAGTTGCGTTCATCCCAGTATCGACCAGACCAAACATGCTCGGAATTTCCACAGTGCTCTGGTGACACATCTGCCCCTGCTGACCATACCAAACTATGTGGGTTCTCTGTCCCTGGTAAAAACAGGTCAAAACCTGAATTCGGATACATGTGTCCGACACCTCGAACGTCTGCCTTGTTGCCTAATAAGGCTAGACCCAGTTAATAGCGCCTATTGGGTGAATCGCAGACCCCGACACCTCGAACGCTCGGAACTGACCGAATGCAGGCGGGAATCACGGATTGGCATAGACATCTCCGTGTCGTAAATGAGGGGCTCATGCACCCACAAATGGATTCACGAGATCCGTTTCCCTTACCCACTAGCGGACTATCTACCTCCAGGACTGTCAACTTGCAGGTCGAGAACCTAAGCTCCGATACTAGTAGCTCCGTTCACCCGGGTCCGAAACCTCGAACGTGTGCCTTATTGCCCGCAGGGCTAGACTCAGACACTAGTGACCATTGGGTGAACCGGAGGCCTCGACACCTCAGTCGCTTGGAACTAACAGAAAGCAATCGGTAATCACGAATCAGTGTGAATCTCTCCATGTTCCAATAAGCGACTCGTTCACCCACAAATGATTCAACAAGTCTCATCCCTCCATCCGCTAGCGAAGTACTCGCCACTAATAGGCCAATGCCAATGGAGGTGGAGACTGGCTAGTCAAAGCAGCATGCAGGCACTTCACCTCCCCCTAGTACTCATGTTGAGAAAGTTTCCTTTCCAACATATCATGGATGACCGTCGAGGAGACCACAGATCATACGCCGAAAACTTGCGCCTGTTACCTGCGTGGGTGCGGAATTGGGCGGTCTGCCAACAGCTTTCAGGTGTACGCCCTGTGGTCTGTACCGTACTTCCTTATGTACCCCGTAGGACACTCATGTTAGGAAACCTACCTTTCAAACGCGAGATGAGTAACAATCGAGGGGCTCTAGGGAGACATCGTTAAGAACATGCTCGGCAGAAACACCTCGTACCTATATAGAGTGACCTTGTCCCTAACATAGAATATACTGGGCAGGAAGCAGGCAGCCAGGCTGCACCAGACACACCGTTGAACTGAAAATTGACATGCCGTGAGGAACAGAGAAAACTGACGAACAATAGATTGACTATGTGCAACAAAGAAGCTGACGAGTGTGCCAGACACGAATCCTTAACTCCACATATAAACCCTGAACCAGCTATGGTAGTAAAATATCTGGTACGAAACCATATCGGGAAATTGGTCTATAAGAAACATAAAGAGTAAGATAATACTTTTATAAAATGAGCATTCGAGGAGAGAACCGAATAACTGCATTGAAAAACCAGGGCTCAGCTCAGAACAATCACAGTGCTACCCAATGGATACTATTGAGAGGACACCTGTACAATGGAGACCTAAGCTGCAGACAATACAACAATGGGAAAGATGCAACTCGGTATATTTTATTCTAAAGTGAGCTCCAGATCACAAGAGGCAAACAATTTAAGGACAACCCAAATTATGTCCGAAAGAATATGACATATATCCAGCAAAAGTCCTGTACAGAGTAGTACAGGAAACGAGATTGTTTAAATTGGTATTATAAAAAGATATGAGGAAAAACGAAATAGGCCTCTGAGGCTGCAGCGTTTTCTGATTACTTAATTTTCAATTCTTCAATTCCTACTTCAGAAATAGTTGTTTTCACAACTAATAAACAGTAGTAACTTCATATTTCACAGTCAGTAAATTTTATATCGTAATTATGAATTTCAACTTCGAATTTAGGAAGGCTCCAATATTCAGCTCACTGGAAAATTTAAACTGCCATATAGTGTAGTTGCGAATGTATGCACCGGAAAATCAATGACGTGCTGACGAGTTTTCTGAAATCAACCCAAAATCGTAACAATAGGTTTTCACTATTCGTGATTTTCGGATAAAAATACAATTCTTCATTAGAAGGTCGTTTAGAAGTTATTACTCTCACATTCTCGTAGTGACGGAAGAATATGTATCGAGACTCTTGAATCACAAAAATACCATTATTGCAATATCTTCTACAGAAAAGACATAAAATTAATTTCGATTCGATTGAACAGAACGCCCAGTCACAGCATTTGAGAGTGTGACAAATTAGAGAAGCTTTTGAAATCAAAAAGTGTCAACAGGAAAAGTGATGAATATTACTGGAGTTTTTTCCCAACACCAAATCGTTATTTCTAACACCTCGACACGGGTTTCGATCACCAAGTGATCATCTTCAAAGAGGAAGATTGAACCTGACTGAAAAGTGATTTAATTGAAATTTCAAGAGTTTTGAAATTCCTTATCAGGAATGATAACCAAAAACGACGAATGATGAAAAATGATTTATCATAAACAATTAGGCGATTGAAAAACGTTGACATCCTATCCATTCTGGTACTAGAGATAAGTCCACTATAATTCACACAAGCGATAGTAAATAAAACCACTCAAAAATATCAAAGGTCCGTTATCTTACACTTTTTCGATAATAACATCTAAGTTGGTGGTGAAACCTGTCATTCTAGAAGACTCTAGTTTCGGTGAAAACTCAGAAAAACAAGATAATATTGAAACTATTATTTTCTGACGGAATCTACATATCTTTGTGGAAAGATTTTATTGTGATATTGAATTTTTTTACCTCTTTCCACATGTATTGATGGAGAAGTAAAAAACCTAATAGAGCAAAAGCCCCTGAATTCCAAACTTTTTTCATTTTATCGAGGCTGGAAGTTTCTAAGCAGGTTCTCCAAAACAAATAGTGACGATGGGCTACTATTAACTCTGGATTATTCGGACTTTTGGAACGTAATAGGTGGCAAAAGTGCTTGAGTGAGCAATCTTGAATCGTCAAAGTATGAAGGGCATTTTTCTTACAATTTTTTCGTGATGATATTAAAAACAACGTCATCCATTACAGATACTTAGTATCATAGCGACTTCTCGCCGGATCTCTAAACATCAATAAATTTCATCTACACTTTAGTTAGTTACCAGAAATTCTGAATTGGTCATTCATTGAAAGTTGTTTCCTCAGTAGCCAGACTGTTTCGACAAACTCGAAGAATAGCAGAAGGTAGGTACTGACTTTTTCTCGTTCAGAAATGGTTGTGGTTCTATTGATCGAGAAATCAACGTTGGTTGTGATAACAGAAAATTTTAATAGTGAAGACTGAATTTAATTGTTCTAGTTTTGAAAATATTTTTCCCCAGTTCTAACTTCTAGATATGAGAATGATCATAATATTCCCCGTGTCCCCACAATAATTGGTAGAAATAATTACAATGAACAGTTCATTATGAAAGAATGAGTTGTCATATTTTTTTCTCAAATGGTAGAAATAAATAAATCAATCATGTATCATTCTGTGAGAAACAAAAATTGAATGAGATGAAATTAATAAAAAACTCACAGTTCCAGAAAATGAGAAATTTTCTAAAGCATTTTTCTGCTCTTTGATGATCTTATTTCAGATTATGAATATCTCCAATAGTTATTGAATAGTTCGCGAGGAAATAAATTTTAGGAGTTGCGTTTGCCACACCTTACAACCATAGGGTAAACCAAATAAATTTCTGGCTGAGTGTCTTTTTGGTAGTACAAAACGTCAGTTCAATTTCAATATAGTGCTTGTGAAAAAATGTGTCATACAAATTTTATGTGCCCCCTTTAAGGGGTTGTATCTTAACAAGGAATGTCCCAATGAATTTTTTTTACATGAAAGATCCTATTTTTTTGTTCGATGAGGAATTACCTCCTCGAATGTTTTTCACCTATTTAGTCACACCCTGTATAGGGTATTCCAACAGGAATTTACAAATTTCACAATAGATAATGGCCATCTTGTTGAAGCTACATCTGTAAAATCAGTTGTCATTTATTCAGTCTGTTATGCCAAATAACCAAGGATGGATATAGCAAATCACCATGGATGGATACAGCATTCTGGCAACGTATCGCGTGCTTCGCCAATTTTACGGTCGATATATTTGTTCTTCCGAGAGAACTATTCGCAATCTGGGGGATAAATTCGAGTCCATTGGTTCAGTAAACGATCGACCAACAACCGTACTATTACATAGCTCTTCTATAATAATTTTCATTCAATTTGTGGTTTCTTGCATCAAATACTGCTTACATAAACATCGGCCAAGTTGACGGCAACGGGGAATGTTCCTCCTGATGAAATTCAAGTAAAAGAACTCTAACACAACGCATTTTAAACTTATCATTTCAACCTTTCTCTTTAAAATATTATTTAAATACTTAAAAAAGAAGAATGAAATAATGCATTTTGAATGGATTCGTTTCTATTTCACCATTTGGCACCATCGGTTAAAGCTAATGAAGGACAATGAATATGTTACCTGTATGAGACAAACAAAGATGACATATTTCAGAGGCGTGCTG